CAAAAAGAGTGAGACTCTGCCTCAAAAAAAAAAAAAAAAAAAAAAAAAAAAATGGGGAAAGATGCTGGGCAAACAACAAATATCAGTCCACCATATGTTTATGTTCTTTAAGCATGGGTTAATATTTCACCCAACTGGCCAATCTGATATGTACAGTTATGCAGATTCTGTACTGCATGGGGATGTTTGGCTGAGGAGGCAGAGTGGGGGCTGAAATCCAGCCCAAAGCTCCACTTACGGAGCTTCCTTTTCCCAGAAGGCACTTAGTTTTTAAATTTACACAGATTTATGTGGTCTCCGTATACAGTGGTCCTGGTTGAGTATCCATCTCTCCATCTAACTTGAATAGCTTATCCTAAAGTAAGAATATTAGGAGCAAAAGTATGAGCTAAGTTTGTGTGTCTGGCTCCCACTGGCCAACTCAGTGTGGAATATGTGCTTAGCCATGTCCTACAAATATTCTGAGAGAGATGACAGGTTTGGGGAAATTCCCCTTTTTTTCTTTACTTCCTCTCCATTTTTCCACTTAGTGTTGCTAGTTAGTCAAACTTTCAAAGCACACATTTTGAGCTTTCTGAACTTTAGAAAGTGGCTGAATGGTGAAACTGTCATTCTTCTTTCTTGTTTACTTACATTTCTCTGCATTTCCATTTTGATCAACCTGATAATTCTGCTTCAGGAGGAGGAAGTTGCCCATCACTGGTCCTTCAGTAGAATAGCCCTGTATTATAGTTTAATCCCTTTGGGGTTTGTTTTGTATTTTATTTGATTAAAGATCTTTTTGAGGTGATGAAATGCTCACTATTTTTAAAAAGGTGAATGAGTTGAAGGAACAGAAACCTACACGATCTAACTCATGTGAGGCTGCAGGGAATCTCGTAAGTTCCAGAGGTATATATAGCTGACCCTCTCTTTACCTAGAAGGCTCTCAGGCAGCTAATCTGGCCTTCTCTTTTTGGGACTACTTGTTTGTTTTCATCTCTGCTTCACTCTGGCCATTGGTTCCATTCATCTGATTTCCTTTAAACACCAGCTTTTTCTGTGTACCTATTAGCCTGTGAGTGGCAAAAATGGCAGCTAGTACTTAATCTACTCATTGGATTCTCAGTGCAAATCCACAGGAAGTCTGCAGCACAATCACCTGGAGAAGTTTAAAAAAAAGATTTATGGCCTCAAACATAGATATTCTAGGTCAGTAGGTCTGGGGTCCTGGAATCTGTATTTTGAAAATGTTCCTCAGCAGGAATTCCCAGGCCCCTCCATAATCACGAGAGGGAGGAAAAGAACGTGAGGGAGTGATGAAATGGCTGAGCCAGGCCCTAGCACCCGCTTGTCTCCTACATAGCCCTTCTCTTTCTCCTTTTGTCACTACTTGCTATTGATCTTCCTATCCAGAGAGGAGATGGATCTGCAAAGGCATTGAAAACAAATACTGAAGAATATAATAGTTTTCATTAAAAGCAGAAGGACTGGCAACAACAATTCTTAGTCTAGCTTGGTAGGTAGGCAGTCCAACTAGACAGTGGGGCCATCATCAATCCCTTATCAAATCAATACCAATTGTTTTTATCTTGGATGCTCTTAGAGGTATAAGACGAGCCTGGGTGTTCCTGAGAAACACCTTGTCCTTTAGACCCATTGTGATAGATACTAATAGATAGCTTTGAAAGCCTCTCCAGCTATGGCGGCAGTTGTCCAAATAGTCAGGGTCTCTACCTGGACAGGTGGTGTATAACTTTGTAGCTTCAGTGCCCGTCACTCTCTGACTAGCTACAGCATGCTTTTGTGTCTCTTAGTTCAGAATCTTTAGAGAGAATCTAGTCACTGGCCAGCCACTTGGGGGTGTCCTCTGGGATTATGGGACAGACAGAGCAGACTTTGAGAACTGTGAATGGACAGAGCAGGGCATTCAGTAAGTGCATTACGAGATTTCTTGTGGTTGGCTTGCAAAGTGGAGGATTAAGTGAATATCTATAATCTCTCTTTAGTTTGGTTATTTCCTAGATAACAGAAGGATTGATTCCTAAATCAATTATAATGAATTTTTTATGTCAGAACTATAAATATGACTCCAACCTCATTTTATTAATATATTTGAAATAAATGCCCTGTACAGTATTCAGGATACCTACCAAGTATGTTTGCAGTAAACGTCATCATTGTCTCTTCATATTTTAGTAACAAAATGTATATTAAGTTGCAAATAAAGTAATATGGTTTATTATGTAATGTTTAAAGTACAATGCCATGTACTTTACCTTTTGTTGTATACTGACATACGCAAAAGGTTGTAGCAATTTGATTCTGAGTCCTCTATATAGTAATAGAAGCTGTTACTTAATAAATTTGTCCACTGTAGAACTTTAGAGGCAGTTGAAGACCTTACATGGGTATTGATTACATAAAGTATGCAAAAATAAGAAACACTTTTAACCAAGATTGAGCACAAAAAAGCTCAATCAATCAAGATTGAGTTCTGTATTTGCGTACACAAAGCAGTTGAATGGCACAAAACAATGTGTTTTAAGCCCACAAGGTATAGTATCAGTACCTTACGGTTGGTTTAAGAACATGTGTTTTATACCTTTATGAGAATTTAAGTATCAACAGAGTTCAACTGATTTTTAAAAATTATTTTATTTTATTTTTCCAGATCTGATCCCTCTGTGGAACTTCCAAACATCTTTTATTAGTGGAAATATTTTCTACACAATGAAGTCAACAACTTAATTTAAACCAGCATCTGTGTGGTTCTGATTCATCTGCTTTGGTTCGTGAAGTTTGAGATCCGAGGAGTACAGGGTCTTTTGCGATGACAATATGACTAATAGTAAAGGAAGATCTATTACTAATAAACCAAGTGGTGGTCTAAGTAGTGGAAGAGGTTTTGTAGATTGGACTTTAAATTTAAATACAATTCAATCTGACAAGTTTTTAAACTTGCTGTTGAGTATGGTTCCAGTAATTTATCAGAAAAACCAGGAAGACAGGCACAAAAAAGTAAACGGCATTTGGCAAGATGGATTATCAACTGCAGCACAGACTTTTAGTAATAGATCTGAGCAACACATGGAATATCACAGTTTCTCAGAGCAGTCTTTTCATGGCAATAATGGGCACACAACATCAAGCTGTAGCCAAAGGTATGATGACTATGCCAACTATAATTACTGTGATGGAAGGGAGACTTCAGAAACTACTGCCATGTTACAAGCTGAAGATATATCTAGTGATGGTGATGAAGATGTTATTCTGGAAACACACCAAAAATTACCAAAGGAATCCAGTGGCATCATGGCATTGCAAATACTTGTGCCATTTTTGCTTGCTGGTTTTGGAACAGTTTCAGCTGGCATGGTTTTGGATGTAGTGCAGGTGGGTTTTCATCTTTGTTTAACTTCACTGTCTCTTTTGTTATTCCATTTCTGTTTAAAATGCTTTATGTAAGTTACTAATCTCAAACATTTACTTTAGATTTAATTTAATGAACAGATGCTGACTCTGGTAGAGAATCTGCTATTTCTAGGTGGGATTTTTTTCTTTTTTTTCCTTAGAAGTTCTAAAAGAATAATTATTCTGACCATAATGTAACTCTTCTCTACAGACCCCAAAATAGGTTGGTTAAAAGAAAAACCCAATAGATGTTATATTTAAATACTTCTTTATTTTTAAAATAAAAATTAACACAATACTCATTACAAATATGGATTTAAACAATAGAGTATTACATAAAAGATGAAGAGATTCCCTTATTTCTTATCTCCAAACCAAGCTCTCTTCCCCTCTAGAAATTACCATTGTTAAGAATTTGTTGTGCATATTTGCAGACTTTTTTCCTATGCTTACATATATACATATATAATGGTTTTTTTCAAAAATAAAAATGAAATGCTATTTTTTAGTGACTTATTTTCATTGTTTAATAATACATCTTGGACATTTTTCCAAACTGGTACACAAATGGAAAAATGGGGAAAAAATATACCAATACCATCCAAGTGTTCAGTATACATAATTAGTCACCAGAGAAATCCCCATTAAAACCACAATAAGACACCACTCCACATGTGCCAGAATTTCTTTAAAATTAAAAAGACTGCTGATTCCAATTTATAAATAAGAATATAGAGCAGTGAAGGCTTCCATACACTGCTAATTAGACTATAAATTGGTACAACCAACTTGGAAACCCATTTGACATCTATTAAATTTGAATATCTGCATATTATTCCTAAGACCTGGAAAATTCCATTTCTACATATATACCAAACAGAAATCTGTGCATGTGGATACCAAGAGTCTGGAAACACCACTCTTCCCAATGTCCATCAATAGTAGAATGGATAAATTGTGGTATAATATATTCATATAGTGGATTACTAATACAGCAATAAAAATAAATGAACTATAGTTTCTTGAAATTTATATAATGTTGAGAAAAAAAAGTCAGACACAAAGGAACATATACTCTATACTTCCATTGTCTAAAGTTTAAAAAGAATCAAGACCATACTGTGGTGTTTAGGGATGCATACTTATAAAGATGAGCAAGGAGGTGTTTATCATAAAACCAGACTAGTGATTACCTTTGGTGATAGGGAAAAAGGGTAGCAATTGGAAGGAGGCACAAGGAAGGCTGACAAGTAGCACTGGCTACTTTGGAAAATTCTTGGGCAGTATCTTCTAAAAGTAAACATATATGTCCCATATAATCCAGCAATTCTACTCCTAGATACATACCTAATGGAAATATGTCCATAAGTTCACCAAAAGACATGTATAAGAATGTTCATAGCAGCACTATTTGTTAATAGCCATAAAGGAAACTTCCCCAAATGCCCATTGAGAGTAGAATGGATAAATATGTTCACACGGTGGAATTCCTTATATCCTTTTAGTTTGTTTTTCAAAGAGAAAGAGAGCAATCTTCCTGCCTTCAATTTAGAAAATTCAAGGGGAGAACTCTTCAGTTGGTTTGTTCTCGGTCACATGCCAGCCCCTTGGAGCAGTCAGTGTAACTAGGGAGATGAGGTACTATGCTTAGCCCAGTTTGAATTATGTTTCTATCCCTGGGGGGAGATGGGCCCCCAGATCAGCACTTTCACTAGAACCACACAGAATAAGAATTCAACTGCTTCTCAAAGGAGAGGGAATGGATATATGGAATTGTTGTTACAAGGATACAACAGATTGTTACAAGGAAATGGAGATGGAAAAGTGTGCAGAAGAGACAACACTATTGTCTCTAGAGTAGTGACTCCCCATATACAGGGCTTGGCCTCTCTGTGGGCTTTCTGTTTATCTGAGTTAGTCGTTCTCAAAGCATGCTTCCTGAACTGGTAGCATCAGCTTCATCTGGGAACTTGTTAGATAAACAAATTCTCAGGCCTGCTGAATCTGAAACCCTTGGGGTGGGCCACAGTACAAGCACTCCATGTGATTTTGATGCATGCTGAAGTTTGAGAACCACTGATCTAAACTAATCCAAGTTCCCTTCCTACTAGTAAGTGGGGTAGGGTAGGGTATTAAGCTGTAGAGTCTTTGGTCCTACCTATGTAGGGCCCAGTTCAGAAAAAACAGCTTAATGCCTTATACAGCAGACATTCAATAATTCCTTGTTAAATGAATGAATGCAATAAAATGAAATCTACCTCTGTTACAAGGATTCCTAAATTTTGATAATCAAACTTACAACTTTAAAGTATAGAATGTTATAATTGGAAATATCTTTAGAAATCATAGTCCAAGTTTCTCGTCGTTTCTTCCCTAATTAAAAATAAGCAAAGAGTTTTAAATGATTTTGCTAAGACTATATAGCTGGTACATGGCAGAGCCCATCTTGTGGATAAATTTTATTTATATATAACATGCTGTGTGCATATCTTAGATGGTCCATAGACATAATCTCTGATAAGATTCTATAAAGTGAAGTTTTAGCCACCCATCCATCTAAAGGAAAGTGAACTGATCCTATATCTTTGGAACTTCTAGTAATTCTTAGGCAAATTTATATTTATCATTAGGATATTATTAAAACCTGATGTCTACAAAACCCTAAGATCTGCTGTATTTTATTAAGACAATATTGTTGCAATACTAAAAAATATTCCTTTGAAATAAACCATGGTATAGCTCTCAAGTATTCTTTATCTTATTACTATATTGCTAATGCAGAGTGTATGTATATTTCAGAATTCAGATGGAATGATGCACAATACCTGAGTTGTATATCTAACCCTGGAACTTTGAATAGGGCTTTTTTCCTGTTGGGAAAGTAAAGAGGTTGGAGAGGAAAGGGATGCTTGCTTTGAAGTTTGTGGAAAAAAATACCAGTGTTCGAAAAGTGCAAAGAGAAGACGGTAGTTTCAATGTTAGAGTAAATTTTGTCACCAGTTTCTCCATTCACAATGCTAGGATGGCTTCACCGTGTTTGTCCCTATTTATAAAGTAGAGCTATTGTTTTAGAGTTTGTATTAAAGATAAAATGCCTCTCCTAACATACCTGTGACCCCAGGAATACATTAGCAATTCCTCTGATGTAATGGTTCTGTTTTTCATTTAAAAAGTAATACATAGACTTCTACTTCTGGGAAGCTGTAGTAGATGTACTTTTACCTATCTCTCCCATTAAGTACAACTAAAGCCCTGGAAACTTTATATAATAGAAACATGAGAAAACTCTTAAAGGTGGAAAGAAGAAAGCAGATCAGCTAGGGACCTCGGGACCCAGGGCACAACACAGTGAAGTTCCCTGCATTTTCTTTTTGCTTCATATATCCCAGATTTGGAGTCAAAGATGCTGGTAACCCAAAAATGATAACAGGTACAAAAAAAAAGCAACAAAAGCTTTCTCTTTCTAGCCAAAGGACCAGGTAAGGGGCATCTTAGCAGGACAAAAAAACTCTCAGACAGTAACTGTTCTACTCTAGCCAAACACTCAGAAAAAAACTGGCCTCACCCATACCTGCAGTAGCAAAGGCCTGAAGGGAAGCTTAGACTTCCACCTCATAAGGCTGTAATGAGGTGCCTCAACACTTCAGCCAGGGTGGTGTCAGAAGAGGACAAGTACGGTGCCCAGACTTTCATCCCTGTCAGCTGACAGAGTCCCCAGTCAAACTGAAAGGAGAAATAGAAAAATCCATAAAGTTGGAGATTTCAACACCCCTCTCTCAATAATTAATAGAACAACTAGACAGAAAATCAGCAAGGGTATAGGAGAACTCAACCACGCCATCAATCAACAGGATGACATTTATAAAACATCCCCCACACAAACAGCAGAATATGCATGCTATTCAAGGGCTCATGAAACATAAACCAAGAGGGACTATATCCTGAGCCATAAAACAAACCTCAACAAATTTACATATTGAAATCATTCAGAGTGTCTTCTCTGACCACAGTGGATTCAAACAAAAAGATGACAGGAAAATCTCCAGCACTTGGAAGTGAAACAAAATACTTTTAAATAATCTATGGGTGAAAGAGAATGTCTCAAGAAAAATAAAAAATAAAACAAAACATTGAATGGAATGACAATCAAAATTTGTGAGTCACAGGTAAAACAGTATGAGGAAAGAAATTTATAGAACTAAATGCATACATTTAGAATGAGGAAAAATCTCAGATCAATAAACTTAGCTCCCATCTCAGAAATTTAGAAAAAGTTGAGCAAAATAAACTCAAAGCAAGCAGAGGAAGGAAATAAAGGTAACAGCAAAAATCAATGAAGTTGAAAACAGGAGAGCAATAGAGAAAAATCAATGAAAGTTTTTTTTAAAAAAATCAGTAAAACTTAAAAATTTGAAGCAAGACTGACAAAAAAAAAAAGATATAAGTTGTCAATATTGGGAATGAAATGGAATACTAATTCAGATCCTGCAGACATCAAAAGGATAATAAAAGAGTACTACAAACAACTCTACACACATCCATTTTAAAACTTAAAATGGAACTGGACACAGTGGCTCACACTTGTAATCCCAGCAACTTGAGAGGCTAAGGTGAGAGGATCTCTTGAGCCCAGGATTACAAGGCTGCACTGAGCTAGGCTCATGCCACTGCACTCCAGCCTGGGCTATTTAAAAACAAAACAAAAATAAAATGGAACCCTGCAAAAAATATAACTACCCCAATTCACCCAAAATGAAATAAATAATTTAAATACCTGTACACCTACTCAGGAAATTGAATTCATAATCTTAAAACTCCCTCCAAAAGAAGTCTTCAGGTCCAGATAGTTTCACCTGAAAATTGTACCAAACGTATAAAGCAGAATTAACACCAATTCTATATAATCTCTTCTGGAAAAATAGAATGGGAAGTAACACTTCGCAATTCATTTTAAGAAGCTAGTATTACCCTGATACCAAAAC